GAAAACCAAGTTGGTTGGTTGGTTGGTTGATTGGGGTTTTCTAAACAAATCAGCATTCAGACTGTACTGAATAAAACTTTTGCAAGCTTTTTTTTTTTTATGAGGTACTTGAACTCTGCATGACCTGTGTTAGCATGAGAAATCTCTGAACTTCTCAGAGATGTTATCTAAAAAGAAGATGTTTAAACAGCAAATTTTAACTTCACAATATCTTTTAATTCCTCTGTACTTCAATATGGTCGTTGCAGACTACTGCATTAATAAAGTGTTCTGTTTATTCTCTGCTGATTTTGGCTCCAAATGTATTTGGACTTCTGTTTGTTTACTCACCCATTGTCTTTTACAAAGAATAAAGCTCTAATAAGCTATAATGTACTGGCTGCAAAAATAGTTACGTATGGCAAATTGCATACCTGTATGATTTTTAGTTTTCTTTTTGTTACCTGGAAACCTATATAAGTTACTTTTTATAGATGAACGGCACAACACACACAAGATGTACAATGGATCCCTGCTAACACGGCCAGCAGAAGCTGCAGCCTGATCCGTGGGTCTCACAAGGATGTGTCAAGGGGGATGTGCCAGGGTCAGGTCTCGGTGATAGAAGGCTGGTTGATATTTCCAGAAAGGCCTATCTTAAAGTCAGTTAGGAAAAGGGTATCATTCTGAGGATTGAAGTAATAGAAATTAGATGCGATTCAACAGTACAATGTTCAAATTCATTAATTCAGAAGCTAATAACAGGTTTTGAAGCTCTGCTGCAAGAGCTCTTCAGCGGGAAAGAGACTAAGAAGGGAACATTTGGGGCTGATCAGTTCATCAGAAGGGAAAAAAAAAAACAAAACCAAAAAACAGCACTCCAAAGCTGCGAAGATGAGAGAGTCAAATAATTAAAATGAGGAGTTATCTGTAGAATTAAACTAAAAAGTACAGAACAATGGGAGTCCACCCAAAATGCTGTACAGATACAGTGAGTATCTGTAGTAGCAGGAGACAGTTCCTGTGACATGTGAAGTCCCTTAGTTCACGGGATAAGTGAGAGAATTATTTAATCCAAAGAGAAAACCCTAGGATACTTGTCATACAATTCAAGGGAATGGAATATTAATTTAAAATCTGAAGTAATTTCTGGGCAAACAATGAATTTCATCCCTAAAGGTGTATTTTCTGAGAGGTCCTTCTTGGGGGATGGAGACTGTAATATTCATTCAAGTCTATAAGCTATGCAGTACATTATAAATAGCATCAGGATCAGAGTTCTTTACCAGAATTCAGCTTGTGAATGAAGGAGTCCCCAGTGAACACATTGCATAATAGGATCAGTTTAACAACAGCAAAATCATTTTAGAATCATACCAATAGTGTTTACTGTGCACATCTCTTAAAGGCATAACCGAAAGCATCATTGTGGCTGCACATTCGAGAACATTTGAGGCCACCCATGGATTTCACCTTGCTTCCAGGTGACTAGTATGTTTCACTTGTAAAGGGGATCTTGGATTATCATTCAAAATCCACTCTACTGAGACCAACTGCAGCGTTCTAAGTACTTTTTGGAGTCCTTGCTTTGTTCAAAAGCTACTTCAAAGCTAAGGAAATGTCCCTCTTGAAGAAAGATGTTTGCTCCAAATGTCTGTGTGTTGTATTGTAACCAGTTATGGAGCAAGGGTGGGAACACTATCGTCAAATCCCACGTCAAGCAAAGATTGCCTTATAGGAGGCTGAGCAAATCCATAACCCCCTTTTCTCCAGTAGAAGTGCAAATGTAAAACCTTACACCTCTGAAGTGGAGGCAAAACAACTTCCTTGCCAGAGAGCGATGTCCCATGGTTGCATAACATGACTAAATTGCTAAGTGCTTCAGTGATTAGGGCCCCAGATATTTAAAGAGAGAAATCTCATTTTCTTAGAACATTTTCAAATACAAGAACAAAGCTCCAGCAAATTAATCCTGTACTGTCCACACCCTCCAGCAAGCTACATGTACTTGTCTTTCACAACACTAACTTCTATGGCTGTCTGCTGAAAAGCTGCTGGAGTTGTAGGCAAACAGAAACTGATTCAGCTGCTCAGAAGGAACAACTGTATCTGGAATTAGAAAAATCATCTACATAGGACGTCTGCCAGCAATTTTAATAAATTACACTCTAAAAGATAATACCATGAAATAGTCCTCTTTAATTAAAAACTCAATTTTAAAAAGCTAGCATATACATCTAGCTTTATAAAATAAACACAGAGGAGCTGCTGAGCAGCCTTGGAGTTGGTGAAACTCTGGAATAAGCTAGTTCTAAAAATTAGATTTCTAAATGAAATTTAGAGCTTAGCAGGGTCACAACTGTTTTGACTAGTCTTAGTCCAAATAAGCACAAAGTAGATAGACACAGTTTTTGGAAACTACAAGAAAACCATTGATGCAAAACAATTGTTATTTCTCTCAGCCTTGGGTTGTTAAAAGAAGTGAAGCTGTTAATCTTAAGAATGAACTGGGAATTCGGGAAGTAATTTACAGAAACAGCCTCTTCAGAATTCATGTGTGTTTAAATTAGGTGTTTGGACTGTGTATAGCCTACAGGGAGAAAGAGGTTTTCAGAGTAATGCTCAGAGCATCTAAGGTAATATCTCACTCTTGTGTCACTTTCCACTGGACCCTGTCTGCAATCATAGACTACAAAGAGAGTATTTGGAGCCCAGTATCATAATTTACAGTCCTAAAATAGTTAAAGAAAGTGAGGCAAAAGAAAGATTGAGATTTGTGTGTTGTTCAGACTGTCATCAACAATTTCTTGCATTGTTGCCAGAACATTTTTGCATAGCTAGAACTGTGTCTTGTGGGAGAGGGAAAGAATTTCATTAAGTCCATTGGATATTTGGATAGACGACTAATTTAAATACATTCTTTTTTTTTTTTCTCACTCTGAACTTAAATCTTCCATCTTTGACACTTTTTTTTTTTTCTCTACCCAGTAGAACCAGGTAGGGATGTATTATTGAAATGTTTATAGTTCCCTCCAGAAGAAAATAAGTAGAATTAAAGTAGTAGCTATATTTCAACATCTTTACACTGCAACCATAATGGTGTGGCAATATGATTTACTGAAGCTGAGAGGAGGTAACATGTGTGTTGCAAGCGGTGTGGTGTCTGGAGTGTTCCAAGCGCAAGAGCAGGATGTGGGAGACCTGTTTTCTTTGTTGCTGATCAACTAAGGGACTTTGATACAGAAAGTCAAATGACCTTCTTACTCACCCTGTAAGTAAGTTGAAGCTAAAGTTAGAGACCCTCCTTAAATCTCTGGGCTCTCATGAATAGCTTTTTACTATATGTCTATGTTTAGTGAGGGAACAAGCAGCTTGAGGTAGCAAGCTTTTTCAAAGAAAATTAATAGGACTGCTCATCCAACTAATTCACTATTAATCTTGGTAAAATCAGGCATCCAGGATTAAAACCTAAATTATTCTTTACATTTAATTTTGACTTTTTAAATCAGACATTTCCAAATCTTCTATCAGTTTCCACTATGTTTTTATACTTTCTGGGAGTAAGCAAATATATTTTTCTATGATCTTACACAGAAGCTGATATTGTCGAGGTGTTAAGGGACATCGTGGAATCCTGTGTACTCATATTTCTACTTTAAACACCTCCAGTGGCTAAAACCAGGGACGTGAAGCCCCTATTATAATCTGTGTAGAGAGAATGGTGTGTTAGCATGAAACTAAGATCAATAAGATGCTTGAAAAGGTGAACTGACTTCAAATGGCAGTAACACACAGGGCTGCCTGTGGGCTTCAGTCTTAAAGAGCGGGCACGTCTTTGTGTCTCCCCTCCCTCTGTATCTGCTGGGACAGAGCATGGGTTTACACACTCGTTGGCCAGCATCCCTCCCATGTGATGCCATTGCCCTCACAAAGCTTACGTGCTCCACAGTATGGTCTGAGTTGCCCAGGCCAAATTAACACATGCCTTGACATCTCTGTAAGGATCCTGACAGTCGATCCTATTGGGCTGCACCACATTTCAGAAGAGAGGGCAGCTTCTTTCAAACTGAAGAACAGAGTCCTTGTTCCCCACAGCACCTCAGAACAAGGAAGGACTTAATGTTCAAACTGAAGTTCCCTCTTCGTCTTCATGAAGGAAATCCCTCAGTGAGTCTTTAAACAGGTGTTGGCACTGTCAGTGTTAATACTGCACTTGCTTCGTGGCTGAATGGAGAGGTGCTGGTCTACCTGAATGCCAGTTTAGCAAATATACCCAGAGCTAACTGATGCTCCAGGGAGCAATTTCAACTTTACTAAAAAGGTACTCTCAGACACATATCAAGCATCATCTTGAAAATAAAAACAAACAAACAAACAAACAAACAAACAAACACAAGCATTGATTGTCTGCATAGCGGGTGTTTGAAAAACCTCGTTGTTGTAGGCAATAATTGTAACAAAGAACAGCACTGCTGTTTGCAGAGTAGAAGGGAGAGAGCTCAAAATGAATCAATACACCTCATTGGTTGCAGTAACATTTATGAAAAATCTGCTTTCTAATTTGAAAGAACCTCTAATCCACTAATAAAGAAGCATATGCTCTATTATAAACTGTATTTAATGTAATGTATAGCTGTGATTACTTCAAAAGAATAAGGAATAGTATCAGACAGTATGCACTGTAAGTCAGGCAAGTTATTTATTTTGTCAGCAGTTGGAACATACAGCTGCTTATGTTCATTAGTATTTCACACTCACCATTGTATTTATTTTGCTTACTTACAAACTGATATGAAGTGCTTCTTCTCCTTCCAGCCAAATAAATTACAAACTGTATATATCACAAACATCATACAGAAATATCAAGTTGCACATAAATAGGATGCAAGGATGAGAGGGAGAGGAGACAGAAAAGAAATGTTCACTTTTAAAGATTTAAACCAAATTCTGCTGAGAAAGAGGATCTGAAGGCTTGGAAGTCTGTGCTGCATGTTGTGTACACAGTAACGTACCCACTCCATTTAATATTTGCCAGGCAAATCACAAAGCCCTCTCAGGCTACAGCAGCATATAATCTCCTTGAATGTTTTCCTGAGCTCCTGACTCCGGAATGCATAGATAAGTGGATCGATGATGGAATTGCACATGATAAGGATAAGGTAGAAGTTAAAGTGGGACATGAAGCACAGGCAGTAAGGGTTGTAGGGGCAGGAGATGTAGAAAATCAGGTGCAGGAAAAATGGAGCCCAGCACACAACAAAAACTCCAATCAGGATGGTGAGAGTGATGGCTCCTTTCATGTTGGCCCCTTGGTGAACAGGACCAGTCCCTGGAAGAACAGCAATCTTTTTGATATGTGTCCGAGCCATCATAAACATGTGGACATAGAGGGATGCCATGAGAATGAGCATAGTGAAGAACATGCTAATAAGGCAGATGATGACAACACTGCTGTCAGAGTAAATGATGAACAATATGCCCGAGACTGTGCAAGCAGCCCAGATGCATGTGATGATGACCCCTACGCGCTTCACCGTCATGATATTATGGTACTGGAGGGCATAAAAGATAGTAAAGTACCTGTCCACTGCTATTGAGAGGAGACTGCAAATTGATGCAAGCAAGGAACTGCAAATCACTGAGTCAATGACATTGTCAATGTTTATGGTAAAGCTCTGCGCGTCTGTGTCTGTATTGTTTAGCAACGTGATGACAATAGTTTCTGAGCCATTAGACACACTCACTAACATATCAGCCACTGCCAAGCTACAGATGAAGAAGTACATGGGCGAATGGAGGTTCTTGTTCTTGGCTATCGCCACAATGACCAAAACATTCTCCAGCAGGCTGATGATGCCCAGAGTCACAAACACCTCGGGGGATACAAACAGTTGCTCGTAGCAGCCTCCTGAAGAGTGGCCCTTTGCATTGGGTTTGCTGGCAGCTCCATGCAGTCCATAGCTGTGGTTCCAGAAATGGAGAGGCTGGATGGTCCCACGGTGCTGGGTGAAATTCATCTTATGGAGATTCCCCTTTCAGCGAGCTGCTTTGGAAACTCCGTTCCTTTTGTGTTCCTTTGAAAACCTTCTTTGGCTTTTCAGCTTGGGAAGAAAAGAAAACTAAACCAGCAATGAGGCAGGCAGCAGTTCAGAACACTCACTGCTGTTACAAAATAAACAGAACTCAGAAATACTGGTTTATTCTCTCACAGATGCAGTTTCTGATGATCATCACATTTACCTTGGTGATCTATGTCACAGAGTCCCAACAATCAGTAAGTTTGCATCATATTCTCCCCCACGGTCAGTTCCTGTTCAGTTCACTGGTATGCTGCAAAGCTTTTTTGTTCCATTAAGAGAAGCAAACAAAAAATGCCCAAGTGACTGCTGCAGAGTAGAAACTAATTTCAAACTGCAAGCACCGGTCTCGCTGTCAGGCGGTGCATGCAGGCTGCCTGTTTTATGGTGTGTGGAGGAGAAAAATATTCAGGGCACTCTCCGCCTCTTCTTTCCCTTCCAGCCAATGGGGCTCACTGGCTGCAGAAAGTCGAGGGGCTGCTGATTCTGAGCGTCTCTGAAACATCACACGGCACGGCAGATTCAGATGTAGCTACAGGAAAGCAGATGGGCTATCAGAGATTTGTTTCCCTTCTTCTCAGAATAGTATTTTAATACTGATTTGTAATTAGCAATATTACAGAACTGAATTAGCAGTTTTACAGAATGTCTACAGCTGCACTGATGGCTTTTTATTTTTCAGACTGTGATTTGCTCCTGCCCTTTCTGTGGCACAAAGTTATTCTGCCTTGTATATGTGGCAAAATAGGAAAAGGAAGCAAGAGAATACTTACTTCCCCGTGGGTCTTTCTCTCAGATCTCCCTTGCATTGCTCACTTTTTCATGCCTTAGTTGTCCGTTTGCAAGATGTGTTATTGCATTATACTTTCTAAGCATCTTATAATTTTTAAGAAACTGAGACCATCTAAGGACCAAAATCAGAACAAGTCTCAAACAACTTAATAAATTGTCCTAACAAAAGTAGTTTTTCACAGGTAATAGCCTTCTTCACCAATTTATGTCGAGGAAGGAAAAGATAAGTTGATTGTAGAAGCCCTGTTGCCATCAGGAATTAAGATGTTGGGCAGAAGAATCGAAGTCAGTGTTTAGAACAGATGAAAGAAAACAACAAGTGACAAATTTGCAACCTGAAATGGAGCTCATACAATAGTAATGACACAATGGCATCAATAAATCTCCTAAATGTCCATCCAGAGGGATGTCCCTGTGCTTACCTGGCATGAGCTATAAGGCAGCTTGTGTGCAGTCTGCCAGAGAAAACTCTTGAGAAGAGGAAGGAAAAGAATGCTAAATGAATATGAAGAGATGGGGACAAAAGTTATTTTGCTGTTTCCTCTTCAAGCACTGCAACTGAGGACTTAAAACAAATCCACTGAACAAAGCCTAAAGTGCAGGTGGGTTTTGAAGCTATAGGAAAATCAGTCACTACACCTGAGAGTAATATTTACAAGGAACTTGTTTTAATTAATATTTCCGGTCAGCCACCAGGAAGGTTGTGGAGGGGTCTGTATCTGATGCAGAAGTATTTTCTTCAGCCTCTTCTCATCTTCTGTGCATTAGCTGGTTTTAAAATGGACAGCTATAAAGAGATACAGGAACGCAGCATGCGTGTGGAACCGCAACTATCTGTAGGTGACAACCCAGCAGCAGGGTGAAGCATTTGACTTTCACATTCGGATTTGTTGTGGATCTATGGTTATGAAGAGATGGATCAGAGTAATAGCCTCAGCCAATTATTTCTGGTCCTTTCCCCAGAAAGATTGCTTCATAAAGTTGAAACATAAACCTCCAAGACAAACAAAATAACTTGCTGCACAGGAAATACCACAGTTATCAGTTTGGAAAACATAGTTCACCAGTAGCATCCTTGCAATGAAAGAAGAACATGCTGCTGAGAGGGTGAGATTTACTTTCCTGTCAGGACATAATGCTAGCCAGGATTCAAAAAGATTTATTAGCTGGCTACTGATCCCTGGGCCAGTATATATTTAACTCCTGCCACAGACAGGACTTGAATACCTAACCCTTAAAGACATAGCTACGATGTGAAAGCAGTGAGAATATTTATATAAAGACTGATGTGCATCTCCCCAGACAAAGTATTTTCCTACACCTGCAGCCACAAATATGTAATCTTCAAGTTATCCCAGGAAAGCAGCCACTCAGCATTCCTCCTCCATCACCCACCTCCATGGAGGAAGTAGCCAAAGCACAGGGATCTTTCCCCTTTGCATATTTAGGTGGAGCCAGAGCAGGAAAGGCTGGCAAGAATAGAGAGAAGCTACCTCCAGAAGACAAAGCACCATTTGCTTCAGTTATTTGTCTGTACTTCATCTGGCTTCTCCCTTTCTCTGCACATTATTTCTGTTCTCATCTCCGTTTATCTTTCTGTTTCCTGTCTCTTTTCACCCGGAAGCTATCCAGACAATGCTCCATGCTTTATTTTTCTTTGGACATGGTCATAAAAATGCAGCACTGGTTATAACAAAAGAAAGAAAAGGACATTTCTCTGCCACCCACAGCCATCACTCACCTCCAAATGTCTACTTATGGTCTTCATTCTTGGGCAAGACTCTTTTGGTGCCTTAGCCATTTGTATTTGTGGGATGAGGGTACGTGACTGAAAGCAGTAGGCTTAAGGTGGCTTAACAAGTCAGCTGAAGCACTGAAGAGGTGTTGTACCATTAGGCTGCTCTGACTGGAAGGTACAACAAGTCATATGAGAACTTTTTTAAGCAAGAGAAGATGTATATATATCTAAATAATTCTATGGTAGAAGATGGATATATGCCTCTGGCTCCCACTCAGCAAAAACCCAATCATATAGAGTTCAAATTGTTCAAGGGATTCTAGTTCCCTCTTGCCTGAAAATATGTCAATATTTCAGGTTTTTTTTTTCAGTCACAGATAACGGGAATATTGCCTAAACTGTTTCTTAAATTTTAAAACCCAAAGCTGAGCTAATATATTTTTTCAGAAGTGGTGGCTGGCAAGCTTTTCAGCACCATGAAAAATCAGCCGGGGCTGCACAAAGCCATAAAGTGATAACAGTGGTATACTAATATGAGCTCAGCTCTTAAAAGAAATAAAACAGCAAAGAAGATTTAATCCCAGCCTCCCCTTTTTGCATAATGAGGAACCACATGGTAAAAAATATTATTTTTAACTGTCTTTTAAAAAGTCTGTTTAAAGACTTCCTCCTACACAAGTCTGCCATGTCCTGCACCCTGTTTCCAGCTACTCCCTGAGGGGCCCCCCCCAGACAGGGTGACAGCCTCACATTTGGAAGAGCTGAATTATCTTCTGAAAGTCAGAAAGCATTAACTGTAACCGAGCAGATAAAATCCCCATGGTGTTACAGAGAGACAGGCAGAGTCCTGAGCAGGCTGTATGGGTTCTCTGTGGGAGAACTGGAGGGGTAGGGGGAGTTAGAAAAAGCAGTTCCCTGCTCAAATGCATAGTCTGAGATCTTTTTGAATCCCATGTCCGTGTTGCTCAAGCACAGAGCACTTCAGCACTTCAGCAGCTATCAGTGGAAACACTGGGGGGG